TACAGATAGGAACTCTCAGTCTGGGGCAAGTGATGCTCTGTATTCTTGGTGCTTGGGGGGGGGGGCAACAGTGGGAGGGCTTCTAGTGTCCTGACCCCACTGGTGGACCCCCTGATAGCACCTGGTATTTTTGGCCACTGTGTGACTAGAGTGTTGGACTGGACGAGCCATTGGCCTGATCCAACATTGGCTTCTCTTACGTTCTTATGAGTCTCAGAGCGACTTACAATCTCCTTCCCCTCCCCACAACGGACACCCTGTGAGGTAGGTGGGGTTCAGAGAGCTCTCTCGAGAACTGCCCTTGAGAGAACAGCGCTGAACGAAGTTACGACTGACCCAAGGTCGCACCAGCGGAAACGGTGAAACAATAACTAAGCATGTAAACGATATTAACATCAACTTAATACCACAAAAAAATCATCCATAGGTCCAGTAGAAAGACTCTTAGTGAGTTGCAACACTCAGTTCAATCAGTCCAATAAAGGTACATGGAAAAATAAAATCCACCGATATTTAAAGTGTTGTGTGCCACCAGTTAGTCCAGTCAGAGTATATGAGCATAAGGATGCAACGAACATGAAGTTAAGCAAACTCCGGAGGACAGCGGAAGACAGGTGGGCCTGGCGTGATGTGGTCCGTGGGGCCGCGAAGAGTCGGACTCAACTGTGCGAATGAACAAGAACAAGCCTCCAATAGAGACTTTTCCAAATGTTCCAACTTCAAACGTAGAGCTGTGATAAACAGCAAATTCTTGACTTTGCAAGGGGATGATGTGCAATTGGCTATTTATCACATCTCTATGATTGAAGTTTATGCATGGGATAGAGCAGGTAGAGAAAGAGGTACTTTTCTCCCTTTCTCACAATACAAGAACTCGTGGGCACTCCATGAAATTGCTGAGCGGTCGGGTTAGAATGGATAAAAGGAAGTACTTCTTCACCCAAAGAGTGATTAACACATGGAATTCACTGCCACAGGAAGTGGTGGTGGCTACAAGCATGGACGGCTTCAAAAGGGAGTTAGATAAGCATATGGAGCAGAGGTCCATCAGTGGCTATTAGCCAAAAGGTATAGATAGGGACTCTGGGGCAAGTGATGTTCTGTTATCTTGGTGCTTGGGGGGGCCAACAGTGGGAGGGCTTCTAATGTCCTGGCCCCACTGGTGGCCCTCCTGATGGCCCCTGGTATTTCTGGCCACTGTGTGACACAGAGTGTTGGACTGGATGGGCCTTTGGCCTGATCCAACATTGGCG